TGAAAAGTTGTTGCTTTTTCAAAAATTGCTAATCTGGTTGTTGAAAAATCTTATAGGCATTCTAATTAATCATTGATTTTAACTTCAGTGAGTTGCCTATTTATAACTTTTTTCTGTTTTCCTATCATCTGGCAGTTTACATTCTTAAGCAAAACAGGAAACCGAGAAACCACAAAAGATGAAACTACATATTTAAATAAACCATTGAAGTTTTTTGTATCAAAAGGTAGTTCAAACAGAAATTAAAATATGGAGCCAAAAATATATTGTGACATGAGAAAAAGAAAGCGCTCCCATAAATGAATGAGGAAAAGACAAACAAGTCTGATTATTGTACTGCATCTGGAGAGGAAGGGACAGACTTAGGCTTCTCTTCACGTGATGTTACCCTTATAATCTAGAATATGGTCTATAATGATCAAGCACATGTCCAAGGAAGCTATCCTCTCAAGTTATTCCAAGGGATTTCCTCTTTGATGCATGATGTTTGTTTATCCCTGGTTTGTATGGAGCACTTCTAATGTGAAACCATTAAGAAGTATTTAAGGAGGGAAGGGTATAGCTCAGTGGTAAAGTGTGTGCTTAGCATGCACAAGGTCCTGCGTTCAATTCCAGTACCTCCATTAAAAATAAAGAAATAAGAGAACAGGCCAAGATGGCGGAATAGAGAACCCATTTGATCATGTGTATGGTCCTTTTATTGTGCTGCTGATTTTGGTGTGTTAGTATTTTGTTGAGATTTTTTAAATTAATGTTCATCAGGAATATTAACGTGTAGTTTTCTTTTCTTGTGTGTTTATCTGCCTTTGGTACCAGGGTGATGCTGACCTTATAAAATAAGTTTGAGAGTGTTCCCTTTGCTTCAAATTTTTGTAAGAGTTTTTTCAAAAACTGGCATTAATTCTTTAAATGTTTGTTGAAATTCACCTGTAAAGCCATCTGATCCTGGGCCTTTCTTTATAGAGAGGTTTTTGATTACTGATTCAGTTTCCTTACTTGTTATCATTCAACCTTTTTACTTGTTACCAATAACAAACAAGTAACTCTTCATGATTCATACTTAGTAGGTTGTATTTTTCTATGAATTTATCCATTTTCTCTAGGTTGTCCAATTTGTTGGTGTATAATTGCCCATAGTACTCTTATAATCCTTTGTATTTCTGTAGCATCCATTGTAATACCTCCTATTTCAGTTATCATCTTATTTATTTGAGTCCTCTCTCTCTCTTCTTCTCTTGGTAAGTCAAGCTAAAGTTTTTTCAATTTTGTTTACCTTCTCAAAAAGCCACTTAATTCTATTGATATTTTCTATTGATTTTCTATTCTCTATTTCATTTATTTCTGCTCTGATTTTTGTTATAGCCTTCCTTCTGCTAAGTTTGGCCTCAGTCTGTTCTTGTTTTTATAGTTCCTTGAGGTGTAAGGTTAAGTTGCTTATTTGAAATATTTCCTTTTTTAATGTAAGCATTTATCACTATGAACTTCCCTCCTAGCACTGATTTTGCTACATCCCATTGGTTTTGATATGTGTGGTTCCATTTTTATTTGTTTTAAGATTTTTAAACTTCCATTTTGATTTCATCTTTGACCCATCGGTTGTTTAGGAGT